AATGTTATGCGCTATAGTCAGACACTTGTTTTCTGTTGGAACTTTCACTCAGGAGCGGCTGCTGAGCCAAGTGTGACACCACAGAAAATTTGGTATACCAGTCTGGTCCAGTGTTTGGCTTAATTTCAAACCGCTTTGAAAGTTCTGACACCAGCCCAACCTTACTTGACAGCACTGGTTATCAGATTATTACAAAAGTACATGTAAACACCTGATATTAGGACTGAGTTCCTGGCCTTTGATTTCTCAACTTTCATTAACAGTCACTATTCTATTACCACACATCTCAAAAAGGCAGTGATCCACTGCTGCTGCTGCTGCGAATAAGTCATATTAAACTGACCCAGAGGACAGTGAGCCCTTGCTGTGTTAATAACAGCTCAGTGGAAAAAACTGGAGTAAGCCAAAGCTTCAGCGAGAGACACAAATGAATAAACATGTCTATAAGTCAATAAATTGGTTTATGTGCTTGGAAGGGCAAAGTAGCATTTATGGGCATTCATATCAAAAGTGAGTGTAACTGAATATACCCTGAACTAAAGGTCAGTGAGGATGTCCGAACAATATGCAGAAATTCTACTTTAAAGCCTCGTGATGATGGACACCATTTCCAGCTGTCAGCAAAAAGCCTTTAAACGAGCCTGCGAGCAACAGGTTGCATCTTTAATGCACTGGCTATTAATGGAGTGTAGGGTGTGGTGCGGCGGGAAGCCCGTAATAATCAATTTCCTGCTGCTGTAATCATAGCTCTCTGTAAGTTAATTAGCATCTGTTGAGTGTTACGGAGAGGCGTCTGCAGAGAGGGAGTGGTGGTTAAAAACAGTGTGGGGAGCGTGACACAGGCTGTGGGACTCATGTCAGGGCTATTAGATTAAGGCTGACATGAGTCATTGTGTGATGGAAGTAATGATGCATCTGATGCATGTGATTGTGATATACTGAGATCCAATCAGCATCGCAGATGGACTGTGTCTTATCAATCTTATCACCCTCATCTAGATACTGTCCAATAACACAGAGAGGGCTATAAAAGTATAAAATCTTATCTTACAAAGTGGATGAACACCACACTTTCTCCATTACAAGAGATCTTTATTCAGTTGCAGCATATTAAAAACACCACAGGAGGCGGAAAATTTAGCATGAAGACAACCAAACAGGCACAAAGCTATTACTGATTTGTTGATGTCACACTGGCTGACTCGAGGAGCTCTAGTGCAGACAGACAATCACATAGTTGGGAGTCAAACAGTCTAAAAGGCATCAAAAAGGGAGACACGCAAAGTGATTATCGATTGGCTGGTTAAACAACCAAATTACATCGGCAGTTGCTTTTAATGGAGAAAGAAGGAAGCCCATACATTCTCTTCAATTGGACCCTTATTTTCGGTTGCTGACTTTAATTGAGTGTCTACGATGGGGACAGACTACCAGTCCTTAAATCAGGGTATTTCATTCATAATAATGTTTATGACAATATGATTAAGTCTGACAAATACTTCATTACTAGCTTTATTGTATATTTACGATATCATTAAAGACTATGCAGGATTTTATGAAAAAAAAAAAAAAAAATCCATAGGCTCACACAAAACGTATCCGTCTCAGTCATCACTGACCCACTAGAAGTGTGTGGCAGTGTATTTATCTCTTGACTCTGCCCTCTGCCTGTATTTTTATTACCATGTGCAACAACCAGGGACACTGCTTGAGATTTGGGTGCCCTAAGCGTAATTGTTTTGCATGCAATTTTTAAAGAAAGTTATTAATAACTTACTCGGAATGCTGTTTTGTCACTTTGTGACCTGTCTGCCCGAACTGCTGTCCCCAGTACTGAATGAAGCGGAGGACAGATAAACATGACGCATCACTTCGGTTCAGCCTTGCTTGCTTGGTTGTTTACTTAATGACCCTGACGCATAATTCATTTTATTATTTCAAGCAATTATGTATATCATACTGACTATAATGGTCTAATGGTGCCTATTGTAGTTGTGCTCCATCTTAAATAGTTCAGCATTATGATTATGATTGATGATCATTAGTTGTTTTGGTGCCCCCTCCAGCATTTGATGCCCCATGCACAGGACGTGATGTGCTGTGGCTGATAAAGTTTTCATTTGTGTGTGTGTGTGTGTGTGTGTGTGTGTGTGTGTGTGTGTAGTCTTGATGGCACCTTTTGTGGCAGGAACTACCACAGAATAATAATTTGCCAGGTGTTTATATGTCTGTCTGTCTGTCCGTCTGTATGTGGTCACAGTGTCACAACTGTGCAAGATGCTTTCATGTAACTTTACAGGTATGCAGTTGAGATCAAAATAAAGGCAGGGTTCAAAGATGGGTGCAGTCCAAGCAAAAAGGGTAGAAGGTAAGTAAGGGGCCATTGCGCCTCCACTTTACACCCCCAGACTGACATTTGTCCCAGATCCCTTTATCATGGCTGAAATGATCCCATCACAAGATGGTCTTTAGCTTTATTTTCCTCTTCTTTTGCTGAGTTTGGGACATTCCTCAGCTGTGTAGCCCCTAGCGAATAACAGTATGCAGGTGACATCAGGACTTATAAAAACATAGCTAATTGGTGTCAGACTGTAAGCAGCATGCATCCAAGAGGTTGCTAAGAAAATCAGGGACAAGGCACTGAAAAAAATGCACATATACCAAGGTGAAATGCAAAAGCTGGTTCCAAAATGATAGTGAATTTGGGGTTGACTTTCACTTATGCTGAAGATCACTGAAAGAGAGGATGGGGATGAAGAGTGACATGGAGCTGGGTTCTTTTCTTCTTTTCTGACAGGTAGGCACCAGTGGTTAGCTTGGCTAAAGTATCAGCTTTTCCACGACAACAAATGTAACGTTCCTACAATAGTACAGTAGCTTGCAGCAGTGTAGGGTGGAGGGGCCAAGTGTGAGTGTTGTGTTAATAAACAGTCACTGACAATTCCTGTATAGTATACATTTAAAGCAACTTGTCAGTGGTTCAGTTATGCCAGGTTGTCCCAGTGTTTCGTTGTTGGTTTAGGGTCCAATGATTTCAGGCTCTTATTGTACCACATCTGATGCGTCAGTGTGAAATAAATTTGTCATGTTGTCCTCCTTTTGGTGTTCTACCTGCTTACTGTACATTTTACATGATCTGTTGTAGATCTAACCTTTTGTAGCCAAACCACTACCACACTACCAAAGTTGCTCCCCTCTATGAAACTAACTCTTCCATAGTGGAGCCCTTGGCAATGCTACTTTCACTGTCAGTCATGTTTGTTGCCACTGTGCGTAGTCATGACATGAACGCATGTCACGTTATCACTGATATCATGATGGTGTCCCAGCTGAACTGTAACCCCAGTTAGAACAGAAAACAAGGTCCTGTCACAATAGACATGTTTATGATATTGTGACATCTGACATTTTAATATATCACAGGAGGAAATGCATGGGTGTAATTAATGAAGCATAGCATTAGTTCAGGCAGAGCGCTCAAGTTGCGCCTATGTTGGCTAATTGGCACCAGCTGTTTTCAGTATGCTTTACAACGACTGGCTCATTTACAGCTGTGTAGCTAGTAACATCCAATCATATTCATGCAGGTGTACAGCACAGACATTATAACAAGACACTTATCACTACTGTGACAACCATGCCAAAGATACATGCTGCTGCAGCTCCATCCAACACCCCAACCTCCTCCCTATGTAGTGTTTCATGAAATCAATTTAATTATGTTTTATTCTCCATGTAGTGTTTATTTAGGGGGATTAGCAGACTATAAATGGTCAATTCCAAATCTAAGTGTCTCTGACTAAAATTAATAATGACTACACTGCATTCAGGTGTGCCAGGTGTTGGGCCCTGGTATTGTGCATGCTGGTTCACTGGAATGGGATACATTATGGGATGGATCCATCAATAATGTTAATAGTTACACCTGTTCATTTCCTATTATGATTTTTCATGATGTTCCTTTTATGTCAAAATGTCTGCTGTGAAAAAGGTTTACAGATTCTGTTACAGACTTACAGGGTGCCTATTGTTCTCATTTTCAGGTTCATGCATGTATTTTGGGTTTTTACTAAAACATTTTTACATGCTTTAATGTTTAAAATTAAGTTTTCTAACTTGATTCTGCAATAACGACCACACCTCGAACACACCATATTTTCACACAAAAAGTATCTAAGCACACCTGATGAACTTCTTTTTCCTGTCTTTCCCTTCCCTCTCTTGTCTGAATACAAAAAAATACTGAGGGTTCTATCTGCATGTGAGCATACGCTTCTAGACCAAAATCTTCACAACCGGACATGTTTCAGCAGAAATATGATCTGAAATCAGGGAGAAAATAACAACAGTGGGGACCAAGATTACATGTTTCCCTGACAGTAGCGTGAAGCTACATGTAGCAGTGTATGTACTGCATTCACCCAGTGTTCACTTAGTGCACATTAAAGTCAAATCTTACTTCACATAAACAAATGCTCAGAGAGTAATTCCAGTTTATACACAACAATGCTGTGCAAGTAATAAAGTGGTGTACGGCAGGGATTCATTCAGTGGACCTCATGTAGACAAACAGAGGATTCTGACCCACTGCCAGAATATTGTTGTTAATTCAGTAATAAATCATAAGGTTACTACAGGTGAGACAGTGGAGAGACTATGATGGGAATATTAATGACTGTACTTTAATAAATGGGATAACCTCCAGTGAATTAAATTACAGTCAAAATTAAACTGTTTCTAATGTTCCTCAGGACCAGCTGAGAAACCATTTTCAATTAATTCAACATTTATCTATTCACTGACTGTCCCTCCTTTCCAGCGTACCCTGCTACACATTCATACACTTGGGCATGCTGTTTCAGTGCCTTGCTCAAGGGAACTACAGCGATAATGACGGGAGGGGTAAACAGTTATTAGGCACAGCTTTCAAATTCTGCCCTCAATTCTGCCCTCAATGGGACAATTGCCCTCCCCTTGGCTAGAAAGGTCATTCAACTCACCGTCTACACATGCCGGCCTTGCCCTGGTGGTCCCGGCGATCTGGCCTCTCCGGCAGGCGCAGCGGGCTGTCTGCCTAGCAATGGTCCGTCTGGGAACACTGCTGTCTCTGTTGAGCATCACTATCTCGCAGGTTCCCACCGCCAACTGGCCTGCCGAACACAGCAGCAAGGAACAAAGTACATGACATTAGCATAATGAGACTATAATGAACATATTACTGAGGAGCAACTGGTCTTCAAAGGTACAAACACCAGGCGGCCTTGACACAGGGCCCTTTTTTGGTCATGTAGCACTCAACAGTTTGATACTCTCATTTAAAGACTCAAATAGGAAAATGAGAAACTGATTTCAAAGCTTTAAAAGCAGCAGGCTACAGTGCTTCGTCAGATATAATACAGTATGGCTGGCTGCTCTGTTGATAAAAGTGTCTTATAGTGATCGTGTGGAAAACAAAGTTCCTTCCAAGAATCTGTTAGAAGGACATTTTCTATTTTGCTAGTCATTACTAAAAGTTAACAAGTCTGCAAGTCAAAAGCTCCAGGATATGAAAGTGCTGAAAAGAAAAACATACTGATTGTGTAAGGAATACAATCAATAGAGTTTTTCTAACTGAGAGCATGAAAACACTCAGCAATTTTTAGACAATTACATAATAAGATAATGAGACTGTCTTCAACAGAAAAACAACATTGGGCATTTATACAAATATCGAAAACAACCTATGTTGTGATGTGAATGATGGCAGATTAGAAAAATGATTCATACAGCACTTTCCAATGTCATATGCATTTTGGAAGGCACTGACAGACCATGTTATCCTACGAATAGGGGCACTGAATGAGACGCGAGACATACTTAACATGTTGTTTGGAGAACTTGTTTAAGATATCCTGTGTGCACAGGTGACACTCAGTGAATCTCAGTGTGTTGTGAGAGGAAAGCTCACAGGGTGTCCAAAGTGAAAAGATGTCATTATCTAAGAGGCAACTATGCTTACATGCAAAAAAATATCCTGTTTTTGACTGTATGCTGACAAGACAGACAATATTCCTACTGAGCTGTTTACAGGGATAATGAAAATGAATATTCTTCTAATATTTCTGTTTAAGTGTAGCCGTGCATACGCCAATTAACGTGCCCCAGAGCTACTTGTGCCATTTTGCTTGTAATGCATCAAAACAGGATTTTTTCAAAGGTTTCCACCAGTGGTGGACTTGTTGGACCAGGCAAACACAGCCTCCCTCTTTCTTTCCTATAACCACCACTGTTCTTATGCACTGTTCATATGTTTTCCTACAAAAAAAATAACAAAATTGCATACCCTACGTAATCATGAGCCAGTAATTCATGTATAGCCCATATATTTGGCAAGGCTGCCGCCACATGACCAACGCTCTGATGAAAGTAAAGAAAGAAGCAGTCCCTGTAAGGAATCATGTTGGGGTGGTGGATGGGTGACAAAATGCAGGACTTTCCCGAAGGGGACCGGTGTTCGGAACTGAGTGAACTCTGACTGAACTTTGACTCATTTTGAGGTACGTTGTCACCATGTTCCTTTTCCTACACCAGTAAATTTACATACCTAAACCTAACCCCCGTAACTTCGTTACCTCATGTCATTGTCATATTCTGAAAAATATTGGAATATTAGTGTGCATGTAAATGTACTCAATGGGCATGGAAAACTTTATGGCAATCTGTTCATTAGATTTTCAGATGTGTTGTGTCCAAGTAGAAATTTTGACCTTATGGGGCTAGAAGAAAGGTCAGGGGGTCTCTAGATATAATCATCTGAATACATCATATCTGAATGTAATCCTGACGACCTTGATTGAAATGTCTCAACAGCTATTGAATTTGCCCTACATTTTGGTACAGACATTCATGCCCCCCTCAGGATGAATCATTAATGTTTTGCTGATGACCTGTCCTTTTATCTAGCCCCATGATCTGATCTGATTTAAATTTAATTTTGTGAAATACTTTGGTTCATGATCAATATCTGCAAAACTAATGACATTCCCATCAGCTTCAGCTGCATTTTGGGTTTAGTGCAGATGAGCAAATGTTGGCATGCCAACGTGCTAAAACCCCACAATCCCTGCAAACTTCAGGCCTATCTCTAAACTGCCATTTCTTTCAAAAATCCTTGAGAAAATAGTTTATAGTCAATTAATGGCATTTCTGGAAAAGCACAATATTATTGAAACCTTCCAATCTGGTTTTAAAAATCTCCACAGCACAAAATCAGCCCTACTGAGAGTTTTTAAAGACATATTTTTAGCTACTGACTCTGGTGACAATGTCATTCTTGTGCTTTTAGATTTAACGGCTGCGTTTGATACAGTGGACCACAAAATTTTAATATCTCGTCTAGAACACTGGGTGGGTATTAGGGGTTCAGCACTGGAGTGGTTTCGATCCTACTTAGCAGACCGAACCTTCAGTGTCAACAATGGTGACTTCACGTCCTCTTGTGCGTCCCTCCCATGTGGGGTACCACAAGGTTCGGTCTTAGGCCCTCTTCTGTTCTCACTATATTTGCTCCCACTGGGGTCCATTTTACGCAAACACGGTATATCTTTCCACTGCTATGCAGATGACTGCCAGATTTACTTGCCCCTTAAAAAGAAAAATGCACCTTCCTTGGGACCACTTTTTAAGTGTCTTAATGACTTAAAGGCCTGGATGGCACTAAACTTTTTAAACTTAAATGAAAACAAAACAGAGGTGATGGTCTTTAATGGTACTGTTAGGACCCCACCCGTTGATTTGGGTTCATTGGCTCAATATACTAAACCAACCATCAAAAACCTTGGGGTAATAATGGATCCTGGGCTTAATCTTGACAGTCAGATTAGGGCAGTTGTGAAGTCGAGTTTCTTTCAACTGAGGCAGCTAGCAAAAATAAAACCTCTTCTCTCAAGGCAACACTTAGAAATGATAATCCACGCCATTGTAACTAGTAGGCTAGACTATTGCAACGCTTTATATATAGGGGTTAGCGCATCCGCTGTCACCCGCCTCCAGATGGTGCAAAATGCCGCCGCACGCCTTTTAAGTGGCACAAACAAACGTGAGCACATTTCCCCTATTTTAACCGCGTTACACTGGCTGCCCATACGTTTTAGGATCCATTTTAAAATTCTTTTATTTGTTTTTAAGTCTCTTAATGGCCACGCACCACTATACCTCTCTGAGCTGCTAGAGCCATACACTCCTACACGACCTCTCAGGTCAGCTGACCAGCTGCTCCTGAAAGTACACAAAACAACAAACAGGATCAGAGGGGACCGAGCATTCTCAGTTGTAGCACCAAAACTATGGAATGACCTGCCTCTCGACATCAGACAAGTTCCATCACTGCATGTTTTTAAAAAGCGCCTTAAAACCCACCTGTTCTCCATGGCCTTTGATCCCGCATAAATTGATGTCTTTTAATTTGCTATTACTCATTTTATTGACTAATTTTACTTATGTACTGTGCCTTAAAATGTTTTATTGGTTTTATATTGTGTTATTTTATTGCACTTATGTTTTTATCTTTATTGTTTTTATTATGCTTTGTTTTATGTATATTTTATGTCTTATGCCTATTGTACACTTTATGTTTAATTGTGTACAGCACTTTGGTCCACTGGGTTTTTAAAGTGCTTTATAAATAAAGTTGGTATGGTATGGTAAAAGATGGTGAACATGGTAAACAGTATGCTCACTTAGCATCAGCATGCTAGCTTTGTCATTATGAGCATGTTAGCATGCTGTTAGCATTTTGCTCAAAGCACTGCTATGATCATTAAAGGTCCAGTGTGTAGGATTTAAGTGGATATGTGGGCAGAAATGGAACGTACTGTTCATACCTATGTTTTCATTAGTTTATAATCGCCTGAAACTATTAATTGTTGTGTTTATATCTACAGAGCCAGCCATCTTCCACCAAGTCTGTTATGGTTTTCTGCAGTAGCCAAGAATGGACAAAACAAGCACTGGCTCTTGATGGGGCCATCTACGTTTTCACATTTTTGCGTCAGCCTCCATAGTTCTCACATGCTTGGCACACAGGAGAAGTTTCATTTGGTTACAGTCAGCAATGTCACCACTAGATTCTGCTAAATCCTACATACTAGACCTTTAAATGGTGACAATGGACAATTTTACATTTCATCTTCTAATATTTCAATTTTATAAATTTATATGGCTTATATTTCATTTCTAATTGGTCAAAGCCAAAGTTTACAAGTTACGTTACAAGTTAATACCCTAACATGGTGTTTGAGATCAGTGTGTCCCATATTCAAAAAGTGAATTTTACATTTGTTCCAGGGGCAACAACATTATATTTTAAGACACTGTTACTTTTTTCTTTTTTTTTTAAATTTGACTATTGAACTAGTTGATAACACATGGACAACTGGCTGAAATAATGTGTGACTAGGTTGATATGGCAGGGGCTGCTGGGCGCTGTGGTCTGACAACAGACCAATTTTCAAGCCAAGTTAAGCTCTGCTGAAATGGCAAATGGACAGAATGTCTTAAAATGATGATTACCTTGCTCAGAAATCTCCTTGGTGTGTGTGTGTGTGTCCATGTGCTATTCTCTACCCAAGCTCGGAGAATTACTTCAGAGTTCTCCAGGCATTACAAATTGATGGATGACTCCCTGGCCAGGGACCTGTGGCTAAGCAGGTTTTTTAGAGTTTCAAGTTTGTCAGAATGTGATCTCTAAACTAATTACACAAACTGGAGAAACTTACAATTCACAAGGGTGTCTAGCTGCAAATGGACTACTTGGGAGGAGAAAAAAAAAAAAATTCATGAATAAATGTTCTTCATCATCTTGACTTTTTCATGTCAGGGGAGTTAAAAGAGTTGATATAACACTTTTTAAACTTTTCACTCAACTTTTTATTTGGCGTGATGAAATGAACAAGATTCCAAATTGAATAACACTCATTTTAAATATGGAGTGAGTTTGGATGATTAAGATTTTGTCTAGCAGCTAGAGTTGTTTAGCATTTCAACATACAGTACACCTGTGTCGAGCTATCACCAAGATAAAGAGATGAGCCTCATTCCCCAAGCTGTAGTCTGTAAAACAAAAGGTTAAGGGAACAAACCCTGATAGAAAACATGCCTCTTCTCCACCAGG